ATACTAATTAACCAATAATGGTTGATTCACTCAACGCTACAATTATTTATGTAATGATTAAACTAATCTAGATCGTATATAATTGTAATTAATGCTGGACAAATAAAAGAGAACTAGATGCATTACCAAACGTGAAAGTAGGTAGGTACCTAAAATAATACTCTCTATATCTTCCAGTTATTCCGTGTTTATGCATCCAATTGATATCCGGTCTTACTATCCCTTTTATTGCAGATATATTACGTCTCTCGTTATACAATGATTTACATAATTTTGATATTGCACTGATATTTTTAATTAATTAATTAAATTTACTAAAATAACAATGAGAAATGGGATTTATTTTATTTATGTTTATATAAATATTGACATATTATAATAAAGATAATGCAGTCTATTATTTAAAAGGATGAGGTTTGTGCCTCGAGTCGCAAGACGAGAGACTCAAATCATCAAAGTGAATAATAATGCATAATATCAAGTGTAATACTATACTTTATGTACTCCAATAAGTAGATAATGAAATAATTTTCAAAATTAAATAAATAAAATCTGATATCTGTCAAATGGACAACCTCATTTTTTACCAATTTTAAATGTTTTTGTTGTCGCCTTCTTTCAATTTAAAATCACAGTTGTTTATAATTTTTATCAATATTCACATACAAAATTATGCAATACATATTTATAAAAATAATAATAATAATAATAAAAATTAATATTAATAAAATAAAATTATGCGTTTTACAAGGTGAACAATTTAACTTAAATTATTTTTTAACTAGTATTTTTATTTATTTTTACAACACAAATGCGTCACTCCTAAAATACACAAGCTGTTCCCAGCTGACTTCTCATTTAGAAATCATTCCCTAATTTATAATACATTTAAAAAATCAAATAAATTTAAAGTTACACAATATTATTTTCTGTATAAGCTACGTCTCTTATATAAAATATACATAAACAAAGAATGCGTTTAAATAAATTAAAAGTGTCGTTATGTCTTTTGCTACCAGTATAATTTTAAATGAAAACAGCCGTTGGAGAAGAAAATGTAGTTCAAAAGACAAGTCATCATTTCTACCTTTTTTTTGTTTTTTGGTTTGTTGTTTTTAAAATCTTTTAATTTATTTATATTTATGTAGGTATTTTAGATTAAAATAATGAATTAGTCATTTATATACCTAATATTCATACATTTTTAAAACCTATCCATTTCATAACCATGTGCATTCTTACTTCCGGACTGTAACCCAGCCGTACCAGAAATAAATTTTTGGGGCAAAATTTTTTTATTTGATGGGGGGAATTCAGGAGACTTGACCAGGTGGGAGACTTGACTGGGTAGGAGACTTGAACCACCCTTCAATATTTAATAAAGAATTTTAGATAACAAAAGTTGAAATAACCTATAATATAAATATTATTTCAAAATTTTGGACGCCTGTGTTTTACTTGTTTCCATGACACTAAGTGAAACAAATACAAATCGGCAAGTTGTGGTTTTATGGCCTTTTAGGCACGTAGAAACAGGTTTTTAGTCACAGTTTTAACTAACTAACAGTTGTCAAATGTTATATAACCGTTAAAATAAAAAATACAGTGCCCTTCTTGTAAAATAATAATAAATGTAAAAATTATTTAATCTCCAAAAATACAAACGTATGAAATAGTTTCTTAACGCCAATATTTGAAAAGTTTATATGTACATACTGACCTTTTAATTTCGCCGGCAGTAAACTAGATTTAACTTAATTTCGGGTGAGAACTCCACCGTGAAGTACCAATAAAACATTTTCTTTACTTTCTCTGTGAAAAAATGCTTCTATATCTGATTAAACAGTTAATTTACATTTCAATTTACACATAAAAATTTGACATTTTCACCGGCGCGCTGGTAATACAGATTCTTAAGTTTGTTACTCTAATGTTTTATAGATGTCGCTGTATACAAATATAAAGGAGAAATTGAAAATTGCTATCCATAAAATTAAGAAAGGTGCCGCTATAAGCAAAACATTTTTTAAGTATGAATTAAACTGGATTGTCTCAGTTTTTTTCTAATTTTGTGCAGTATATGAATGTGGTTTTTAATTTTTTGGCTAATTGGATTTTAAACTGTTTATTTTCGTTCAATATAAAAACGCAAATTCAATTTGTGTTACAAACTGGAACAATAACATTCAAATGGCTTAAAAGGTCAAAACATAGTAAAATTATCTAAAAGCCGAATCAATTTTTAGGATATGTCTCAAGAACAACAAGAAAAAACAATCAATCCTACATAACCTTACATAATCGTGTTGTTTTGCTCTTTTAAGCGATTTGAATATTATTGTAGCTTTTTCCAGTTTGTTACACAAATTAATTTTGTGTTTTTTACCTATTATTTAATTATAATTTTGGGTAATAATAATATATAATTATTATTATTACATTAAACAATTATTGTTTTAATGTTTTTATATTAAATAAAGCATTAAAATTGTATGTTTATATTAAAACTTACAATTCTTGTAGACTGTAAAGGTCTTGAATGAAAATAAATGTTTCTGAAACGTCGAATTCATACTTAATTGGTTCTTTGATTAATTGTGTACTTTCCCAAGATTTTCCATTTATACTACAATTTTTTGACGAGAAATAATAATTATTAAAAAAGTATGATCTACGACCATTGTTCGTCTTTAGATTGTGATATCCCTCTCATTTTAGGGGGAATTGAATCAAAAACCACTTTTAATTATAATGTCTGTATTTTTTATATTATTATTTAAATAAAATGAAATAATATACAAAGTTGTTGCTAAAAAGTTGAGACTTCGCGCACAATTAAAATAAAATCTCTTGTATGACTTACAGGATTTTATTATTTTTTATGTAAAAAGAGATATATTTTAGAATAAATTTATACTTAAATGACATCAAAGTATTTTAATGTACAATTTGAGGTGTGACCTAATTTGGTCATTTTAGAAATTCCCCCATTCAACATAAAATATGTCCATATTATTGCATACAAAAAATGCCTGCCAAGTTTAATCCGATAACGTTAACAATTGGATATTTTTTCGATTTCAAAAATATTCTGCTGCAATTGATTGAAATTAACAAAAAAATTACATACAAAATTATGAATAAAAAACAATGAAATATTTTAGATTTACATTTTCAATTGTTTTGGGGGACGTGTTACAGATTAGGATCATTTTGTTTGTACATGGTGTATATTTATAAACCATCGATGCTCTGTAAGTCTAGACCTAAAAAGGAAATTAAAAATTTTTGTGGTGAATTATTTTGGCAATATTATACAATTTAATTCCTTAATATAATGCTTTTTTTAATTAGTATTTTTTGTTTGTTTACACAACGGCTGAACGTGCTGAAATTATTTTTATATATGGGGCACAAAATTGTTGTGCTCTACAAACTGCATTGACATGTAATAAACTATACCCTGGCAAAAATGTGCGTCATAAATATGTTCAAGAGCTGGTTGCAAAATTTGAACAAACGGGATCTGTTTTCAATCGAAAAAGAAACCAACCTAGTATGGTGTAGGTTCCACAATATCACTCCGTTCGGCATCTAGATTAAGAGGGCTTCAAACTGAGTCTTTTGGAAATGTGTTAAAACATAAGAAAATATACCTATTTAAAAGGCATATAACACAAAAACTTGACGATGATTATGCAGATTACTAATTTAGCAATGACTGTACTTTTATTTAAATGTAAATCTTAACAAAAAAAATTGTCGCTATTGGAGCAATGAAAATACACCATACATCAGAAAAAATCATTTTCAGTGTGTGGTCCATTATTTATTGACAAAAACTTAAATGGTAAAATTTATTTTAAAATGTTAAATGAAACAATACTTCCACTAATAATAAATTAACTAGAAAATCAAAGAGAAGAGGATGATGAACTAGCTTTGGATGCAAATTTATTACATTTTTAACAAGCTGGATCATAATTATCCAGAACAGTGGAATGGTAGAAGATCCCAGATCTCAAATCTAACACCATTAGACTTTTTCTTATGGGGTCACTTAAAATCTGATCTACAAAACTCAGCCTAATTCTATTGAAGATCTGCGATAACAAATAGTTTAAGAATGCCGAACTATTCCACTATGAATTTAGAATAGATTATACTATTGCTTACAAAATAATGGTAGTCATTTTGAGCATTTAATTTAAAAGGCTAAAAATTAAAGTGTTTTGATTATTGTTGAACAATTTGTTTATTTATGCTTTTTTAGTTTATTATACTTTTGTTAGAATTATTTTGTGTTCTACAATTTTTTTACAAAATTTTTACGACAAAAAAATGGTTTAATTTATAACGAGAAAATGTAATTTTTACATTTTAACAGGTATTTAAGGTATTTTTTCTAGTACCTACTGTTAAATAGCAATTTACAAAGAGTCATCACAAAAATGGTGTTGCCATTAAAAAAAATTGAGTTGGGGTTGCTTAGTAAAGGTCATTTTTGTGGTCATACTGATTTCCCCCACATATTTTTTAGGTTCAGACTTATAAAGCATTGCTAGTTTTTAAATGGACACCCTGTATAATATAAGCATATTTTTAGAAACATTTGATAATTTCAAAATAAAAAAAATAATAGTACGTATTGTAAATTAAACAGAAACAGAAATCATACAGTAAAATCTGTTTTCAAGTTGCAATAAGAAACATTCTAAATTGTTATTATAAAAATAACTGTAATTAAATTTCATTATACCTTTTACCACATGTGTATTTAACAAGAAAGAAGGTAATTTATTAAAGTAAGCAAATCAATTTTTTCTCACATTTTAATCCAACGATTAACATATTTTTAAAGCGTACGATCGTTAAATTTGGTGGCAAACCCAAGAAAGTAAATTTTATAGAAAAAGTAAGAGAGTCTCCATCCGGTTTTTGTTTCCGACTATAAATAGTGATGTTTAAAATGGAATATGCTTAGTATTAAGTAATCCTTTCTAGTGTACAAAAATGAATCCTTTTGTAAGTATTCATAAACAAATAGGACTTCGGCATTTTTAATTTGTAAATTTTATCAAATTAGACTTACCTATTATTTTAATAATGCCTTTTACTTTGCTTTTAAGTGTTAATTAAAAAATTATTAAAGTAGAGTACACAATTGCAATTAACGTATTTTATTATTTTTTATTAAAAAGTTTCTATAAAATGCCAGTTTTTTTAAATATTTTTTCTCAAATATCTTTAGGCTTTTGAAATTTATTATATAATTTTTTTATGGGATAACCAATAGGTTTTTGAAACGAATTTAATTAGTCTAAATTAAAATATTTAAATTTATTACTTAACTTTCATTAACAAATTTAATTTATAGAATCCGATTATGCTTCAGTGGTCAAGTTTGTATAAAACTAATGAATTGTTCAGATTTTTGATATAGTTATTTCACACTGTCATTAAATTATAAAAGAAAGTAAAAGGAACCACATTTAACCACATAATAATAATTTTTTTTTTTTAGATTAATTAACATAATATTATATTATGTAAAAATTAATTATTTTATTAATTTTTAGGCTGTAGTTTTTGCAATCTGCTGTTTGGCAACAGCACAGGCAAGACCAGGCCACATTGGGGGAGGTGAACATTACCAATTGGAAGGAGTACCAGGTGTGGACGCCTATGGAAAAACACAATACCCTCAATTTAATATTATAGAACTGGGGGAATACTCCAAAGGACAATTACCCCCAGCAACAATAGTCAGCAACAAACAAATCACCATTAAAGTACCGCAACCTTACCCTGTAAAGGTACCGCATCCAGTGCATGTGCCCGTGCCGGTAGCCAAGCCTTACCCGGTAATTCAAACTAAAATTGTTCAGGTACCTCAACATGTTCCATATGAAGTAATCAAAAGAGTGCCTGTACCAGTTGAGGTACCAAAACCTTACCCAGTGCCAGCAAACGAACATCACTCTCATCAATCACAAGAAAATTTCGGAGGTAGCTTTGAGGGGGCTTTTGGAGGACACAACGCAGTATCAAACTCTTATGGAGTACCTGGACACCAACAAGGAACCCCACTTGGTGAAGGACAATACGCTCAACAAGAAAATCACCATCAGAGTGGCTATGATGGAGCTCAACAAGGAGGTTATCATATTTTTGAACAAAGTGACCATGGAAGGGCTGAGGAAAACAATTACGGTGGATCCGAACAAAATAGTTTTGATAATGAATATAATAACTTTGGAGGACAACATTCCGAAAGCGATCAATCTGTGAGATACGCAGCTTATGAACAACCACAGCAACAAAATGAACAACATCAACAAGTTGCTGAAAACGAACAAGAGAAAAAAGAAGAAAATTAGAATGTGGACTTTTAAAGACTTTTTTGTTGATTTTTATTTTTTTTTTGTTAATTAATTTATAGCTTTTATACTTAAATAAAGAATAAAATTAAATATATATCGTTTTATTCACAAAATTTGAACATTAACATAATTTAAAACAAGCTTACTTCTGACGTTCGAAGGATTAAAAGTAATCATAAATGGCGCATTGTATTAAAATGATTCACGCTATAAAAAACTAAGGCGACATTTTAAGGTTTTGGTTTTTTTTTGTATTAATTTATGCAAGGCCCCTGGCATGCCGTTTTTAGGCTTTTAGGGCACAGCACCATATGTGAGAATTAACCTTTAAATTTTCTAGTAATATATAAAATTAAAAAAAAATACATAAAAACAATAAACAGACAAAAAATTAAATAGAAATAAAAAAATACTTGTGCGCTTAGACCACAAATTAAATTCGTGTTTTTTAAATTTAATCGATTATAATTATTTTGGTGCCGAGGTATTTGAAACTTTATTTTATATCGAATTCAAATATGGCATTAGCCTGAAGTATCTCAAATTTAGTAAAATATACGTTACATAAGTTTTGAGTTAAATCCATGGATAAAATCAAATGTAATGTTTATTATAATATTATACAAATATATAATTATATTATATTATACTATATAATAATAATAATTTTATTTGCAACTGTTTACTACAAACATTAGTTACCACAATTACATTTTTATCTAGTACAGTAAAACAAAATTAGTTAACTTAAAGAGAATAAAATAAATTCAATCATTTGCAAATAATGATTGAAGAGCAACATACCCATTTTAAGGATTGTTGATCGAAGCTTCAACCATTTAAAACTAATCCTAATTCAACCTAACCTAACCTAAACTTGCTTAACCTAGACCACTACTCTAACCTATCCTATACCACTTTACATGACCCTATATTTTTTAGATACACTAATATCAAAAAATCCGGCTCTATATTTTTCACAAAACTAGAAACGCAACAATAACACAACAAAACGCACCACTCACAAATGACATTGATTTGCACCTCCTTTTAAATTGTACTTCATTTAGAAGATTTAATTCCTTGGGTAACTTATTATATTCAATGTATATATTGTAGCTAACTGATCTTTTAAAAAAAGTTGTTTTATGAGGAAGAGAATATATAAGTCGATATAAGTATTATATACAACAGTAAACAAAACAGTCATCGATAAAACCAACTACATGGTCACTAAACAATAAAGTCACTGAAGGTTCTTTTCTGTGTCTTTTTAAATGTATTTTGGAACAGTCCCTTTTTAAAGTTCAGCAGCGGTTTTTATAGTTATACCCTCGTGAAATCTTCCACCTTTTTCCTCACTCAAATCTTCTAAATTTTCAGGAAAATGATCTAAGTGGCTGTGTAAATAGTGCACCAAGGCATTTAAAACGGTTAAGAATTCCATTTACCAGTTTAACATAGTTTTCAGCTTTCCGTTTTCCCAGGAAATTTTCGAGAACTGCAACAAATAAAGTCCAAGCCTTTCGCTTAGCTTCATTCATTGAATTTAAGAAGGCAGGATCCTTAATGAATTGTCTTATTTGTAGGCCATCAAATATTCCTGCTTTCCTAACTTAAATGATGCATTTTAACTCTATATATGCAAAGCATGATCCGCTCTTATCAAGAGCCTTTACGAACTGCTTCACAAGACTTAGCTTGATATGCAGTAGAGAAAAGATGATTTTTTATCCTTTAACTAAGGAGTCGTTAATAACATTATTTTCCCCATGTCCATGTTTTCTCTATTAGGCGTCTAACCCAGTGATCTGTTTTGACAAAGGCACAAGAAGCAAGGATATTTGGTGTAGCTACTTTGCTATCCAAGGAGAAAGTTAACCAATTTTATTTCCTCAGAAATCGCCCATTGATGTTCATAAAACTTTATCTTCTCAAGACCAAAGCTATGGTGTCATTTCATTTTTGTTGAGTGAACAATTGGTATTGAACCATATTTGTTCCCATTGTGTAGAAGGAGACTTTTTAAACTAGGCCTTAAGCTGTCAATAAATAGGTGCCAATCATCTTGAACATATTCAGGAAGACCCATGTTTTCCAGAAGTCCTCTAATATCGTGAAAAAATACAATGGTTTTCTTGTCAGAAAAAAGGTATACTATATGCTATAGCATACCCTTTTTACTTGTATAGTACAATGTAATTTTGGTTCCTGTTTCTAGTATATTTGTCTTTTTCAACCTGTAATCAAGTAATTTGGAAGTTCCTCTTGATATGTTGGGACCTCTGGTGAGGTTATTTAACATCCTATTTGAAACTTTGTGAAATTGATGACATCCCCTCATAATCAATGTCATTAGTATCAGAAGGTTGATAAGAGCTCACAAAGCTCTGGTAGATAGTGAAACGTTGGAAGTGGCACCTCCTAACACAAAGTATCCAAGATGGGCTTTCTTTACACTAATAAACTAAGTCACTAACCTTATTTCTGTTTTCTATAAAGGTATATTCTTCACATATGTAGCAAAAACATCAAGATGATTTACACAACTTTATTTACATATAGTCGCGGCCAAATCTGTATGGGTGCACGTCATCAACGGCATATGACGTCAGCGTTAAGGTCTATTCATACGTGCCCAGACACAATCTAACGCTCGTGTATTGTTGACTGTTTATACCGGTGGGGGCTGTTATTAAGATGGAATTATAACGTCCTTGTTATAATCTTCTACACTAACTAATTAGGAGTTTGTTAATGGCAAATTTTTATTAAATGTGTTTAAAGAGAAAACAAACGGAGTTTATTACATTTTTATTACATATGCACATAACAAAAAAATACTAAATTATCAGAAACACAAAAATAATAAATTACCAGTCGTCCTTGTCATCAGAGCACACCAGGTCAGAATTGAAGTCTGATTATTTCCCCAAATTTATTATTAAGGGCGCAATGTCTTCGAAATCTAATAACGGCTAGTTGCCAACAAGCCTTATTTCATTGTTTGCACAATCCAGGGATTGAATCTTATAATCATAATGTATAATATTATTTATAATAATTTGCAACAAACGATGCTTCCGGACGAAATGTCACCATTACAAAAATACGTCAAATATAAAATGACAGCGACCCATCAATAATATTTAACGGTGCGCGCCAGCCTTAAGCTATTACCAACTGGCACACACAAAAATTACTAAGTGAATGGTTTTATTTTGATAATTTCGTGAAAAAACGTTTTAAAACAAGGAAATTGTTACAGTTCTTGGTAAACAATACGCAAATGAATGATTTCTTTTTAATAACACATCAGAATTACGCCTTAAAAAAGCAAATTTAACGGCAGTAACTTTACAATTCAAAGTTGGTAATGCTGGCGTCATTATATCTCATTTAAAGAGATGAATAATTACTAAAGTCTACAAGGTACTTTACTTATTATTAATAAAGGCTTAACAGCGAGGTTATCAAGTTGCAATCAGCAATGCTGAAGAAAGTAATTACCTGGAAGCTGAACAGAGTTTTGACACAACAAGTTTGGAAAAGAACATTCAGAATGCGATCAATCTCTGAGATAATGCAATTTATGATTAACCCCATCAAGTCCTAAAAATTAACAAAAGAAAATAGAACCGTTGAATGTAAAATTTTCTTTTTTTGTTAATTTTACTCGATATTTATATTTACAAAAAATAATGTTGTTTTTATTATCCACGCTTTACAAATAAAAATAATATTAAGATATTTTGCAACAATAATCCTGGTAAAAAGACCTAATTATGTTTTCCTAAACATACAAATATTATTAGGCAATCTACAATTCATTTTATTTAAACTAACATTAGGCATTTAACAATTACCACTACGACAAAATTTAAATTGGTTGCACAAATAATAATAAAAAGAAAATAAACTTAATTCGTGTAATTTAGATCATAGCGAAAGTGCCCCTTCACTCAGAGATTGGATTTCAATCGTTATTTGTTTTATTTAGTTAACAAGGTTGGCCGTGATCATGTGTTGCCTTTTAAGGATTATTTATTTGATAATAGGAATTGGCACAAAAATATATTTTTGTGTTTGGTCACCTATATATACATAGATATTTTTCTCTACTGTACTGTACAAGTTAAATCTATATTATCCAGGGTGCTCCAAGTATATAGTTAAAGAAAAGTTGCGTAATTACAAGTCTATTTAAATGGAATTTAAAATTTGAAAAAAAAATCAGCGATTTTTAAATAATTAGAAAAAAGCTAAAAATCTATTAATATTCTACATTCTTTTAAATTTGTCAAACTCTTTCTCGTTTGCAAGGTTTAACTTTCTTGGTATAGCAACTGCAAACAAGCTTTTAGGGCTTCTTTGATTATATCTGAAGAAATATTATATTCTTTGACCTCTTCCTTTTTTATATTTAGGTGGTAGTTGACAAATTTTACACGTTTTAATCATTTATAGTAACAAAAATATTAAAAAGCAAAAGCGCACTAAGCCTAAAACTGAATCACAATCCACACAACAAGGTCTGTTCTTGTTTCGCGCAATTAGGCAACCCACTGCACAGACTTTAATGGCGGCCATTTTTATGTTGTTTACAATTCTTGTGCTGGTTAAACAGATTAAAAATCACTTTAAACGTTGTGTTTCTTACAGAGGCACTTGTAAGCCTTAAAAGAGGCCTTAAAGTGCTAAGGACAACCACTTTACTCCTCCTTTGTAAATAATAAACCCTATTCTATCAGGGCTGACATCAAATTGCTAATTTTTAATTATAAGGTCAATGAACCATACCCACAAATTATCATTAAAATTTAGCAGTTTTATGACAAACCTAATATAATAGGGTTTATTTTTACAAAAGAGAAGTAAAATGGTTCCCCTTAGCACTTTAAGGCCTATTTTAAGGCTTACAAGTGCCTCTTAAGAAACACAACGTTTAAAACAATTAAAAAGGTGTATAAACAGCACAAACCCAAAGCACAATAATTTTAAACAACATAAAAATGGCCGCCGTTAAAGTCTGTGCAGTGGGTTGCCTAATTTCG